GGGCGTTCCCCATCAGCATGATGAGCCCTGTTATGAGTATAATGCAGACCATGTACTGTGCACGGCTCGGCCATATGTACGTTGTCAACATGCCACGAATGATGTACGCTTTCGCTAAGCTGGTTATGCGCCTCTTGGACCCTAGCACCACTAAGAAAATAGATATCTTTCATGGTGGTTTCGAAGAAGCCCTTTTGGAGACTATCAGTTCGGATGTCCTCGAGGCCCGTTACGGTGGTGACTGTGAAGACCAGGTTTCAGATTTCTGTGTTCCTCAGTTCATGACGTAAAGAAGGCATTCGTTTCATTACTGTCCTCGCGATGCCGCCTTTAGAGCGACAATAGTACCATCACTCTATACTTTCGCCACCACCATTATTTGCAGTTCTATGTAGTTCCTTCACTGTTGCGTTCGCGAAACACGGGCCATGGTTTACGAGAGAAATCAGAGCATACACTTCCTATGAGCTCTTGAAACACCAATCACGATCGTAGTTATTGGGCGTCGAAATTATGCATGTAGTTCAGGAGGGTTGTTATTGTGTACTTAGGATGATAAGGAAAGACTCCTGAACGACACATTGCTGTCGTTGATGGAATTAGTCTAGTCTGATGGTGATCAGGTTTTGGCGAATGTAAGCAAACATGTGATAGTATCAGAATCGCATTACGACTTGGTGGCTTTACTGAACTCAAGTGAATCAGCCACGTCTGTCTTTTTAGTTTTCGATCATATAGCGAAACTGTGCCGGTTCTGTCCCGATGATCGGGACTCAGGGGTCCCTGGATCCAGAGAGGCTGATCATGAGCGATGCACATGATCAGACGGTCATCTCCCCTCATGGAGCGATCGACACAAACTCCACTGTAGTGCCGACGCCCAAGTCAGAGCGCAGCTCCGCACGCTAATGCCCAACATCATAGTAGCTACCACTCCTTCACCACACTTCCCAAACACAAGACTCACCACAGGAGCAGAACTGAAAGCAATGTACGAATGTATCTGGACATATCGTGCGTAGGTAATAAGCTAGGACAGAATGAATGGGAATTTACTCCTCGTCGAAATCACCAAATTTACGGACGACATCGTCAAGCGCGATCAACCTGCGAACACCAACACCAATATTGTCCGGCTCAAGCATACGGCAACACCCTACCTAGGGCATCCTGGATAACGGGACGGAACTGCAATTTCTGGACGACAACCCGTGTCCTCAAGGCGCAGTTGTAGTTGTATACGTAACGCACTCTCCTAAAAAGGTGTCCTCCAATAGCTCGAATCCAGATACTAACATCATGTGGATTTAGTGGGAGGCGCTCGATCAAGTCTGTTATACGTTCCGCGTATCGTCGCCCGCTCGCACCACACTCGCTCATAGGCTTATCGCAGTTCCCAGTCTGTCATGGCAACAATATTCACAGAGAAGATGCCTGCCACCACTTACACTAGCTGCCACTGGGTATACCAGAGACTGGTAGTGAGCTATACACACACTAATAACATGGGCCAACTCTTTCGTATGTGGACCGTAGAAACGGGTTAACAACAGTGCTGCATTGTCCCCTCGAAGACCTACATAGAAAGACCTCAAAATGAAAGATTATAAGGAGCGGACTTTTTCTTAGGGAAATTCGAAAAAAAATCAAAATTTTCCGTCAAGTGTTTGGGTTCTTGGGCTGAAACCAATTGAATAAGTATAGATAACGTCGTATCAGAACCGGTCATAACAACCGCCGTGACTGATATATGAGGGCGAGCGAGATTACGACGCCCCCTAGCCGTGCAAATTTGTAAAGCAATTCAGTTCAAGAGCCCAAATACTTGACGACGAGAAACTTTGATTTTCCGAATTTGCCCGAGAAAAAATAGAGCGCTCCTCAAATCAGAACTGAGCGTTACTCAATAGGAAATCATGAACCGGATCCGCCTCCTCGTTGGGCCAGTCTATTCCCAGACGAATGAACGTGCCCAAGAAGCTGTCATGAGGGAGCACTCTGCTGTGCTGATATACCATTATCGATCGGGCCAGATCGTACCTAGCGGACGATGCAAAATAACACACATAAGCTGAGTTCACCGTCTGAGCTCATCGCCAACCTCGACCGTCAACAGGCAAGGTGCCATTCTTTCCTCAGCAGCTCCGGTGCACCGCGTGACAAGCTGCTGGAAGGCCTGACAAACTCAACCTTCGAATACAACGACACGAGATGGCCACCTCACGACGATCCGCTTGTCGGGACAGCCATCGAATGAGCATAACCGTCTCGAATGCAGTAAGTCGCTGATCTCCGATTCGGAACCTTTCACACCTTTCTCGAAGCATCATACCGATCGGCTCCGGTACTCGTCTGTCAGCAACAATAAAGGCCGACCTTTCGCTACTATGATAAAACTCACAGTCCATCCCGCACTTTCTGGCGGTCCGATTCCTCCCAATTGGAAGTGAACAGGTTCGCATACGCCTCGAATAACCGTTTATATACAGCGACACTCGTGATAGGATTCCTGAAGTAGAATATATTCCCGTAATGCGACAGTGCGCATACATCTGAGCCTGCCAGTTGCACAGTGGCTCGCAGGCTTGTGTCAAGCGTAACTGCAAGAAACTACACAGTGCAAAAAACAGTCAACTCACATTCCTCAACGCTCTATCCATCATTCGCAGGGCGGTGTTGAACTCAGCCTGGCTCGTGATTCGAGCACTAGGCAGCCAAGGCCCTTCCCGAGGCAGGTCAAATTCCAGACTCATAAGGACTCGGTCGTATCTGTTGCAGCTGAGCTCAACGGTAGAGGAAGGGAATGCACTTACTCGACTTCCCTTCCACAGTGTGGAGGCGATCCTGCGCAGATCAGAGATTTGACTCTGGGGTATCGACGAGCAAAATGACTCGATGAGAGAGGCACTCCTACGACTCGAGCGTAGCGAACACACACGTACCTGAACGCTGTGTGAGGGGAAATATGCACACGGATTCAATGACAATGAAAAACTCTCAGGAAATTGCAGAGAACTGTCGTTGGTTTTTGCACACTTACACCGTGTTAATTTCAATCTCTAGCTCAGCTGAGGAAATCAAAAACTCATTCCAACACTGCTTGTGCGAGAATACCATCATCGATATCTATTCACTCACCACTGACCGTCTTCCTGTTGCGTTTGTTGTCTTCCATAAAGTTCAATTCTTACTGCAGTTCCTATGATGATGCGCGGTGCCAGACTGAGAGCAACGACAGCTTACCCATCAGCAGCAATAACGACAACGGCAAGTATTGATTCTCGATTGTAAAACGACGAGGATCCGCATGGTTTAACTCCGGCGGCTATCGCCCTACGGGCAGGCTTTTTTCTGAGCTACTGCATGTGCTAGTATCATTCGTTATTGAATGCGAAACAAGGGCAGACGAGCTCACTGAATGCATAGTCGCTTGGAGGTGTTCTTGGTTTCTATAATGGCAGTAACGGCCTTCCACTCACCGTCAAGACCATCTCGAATGAATACTCGGACCTGCACACTGCCGCATACAGGAAAATATGGAAAAATCTTGTTGGTTTCTGAACACTTCTACCCGAGTTCGTATAAATAAACTCCTACAATTGGTGAGAAAACTCCTGAGCTCAGGTGAGGAAAACAAACTCATATCCAACACTGTGCTTACAGCTCGGGGAGCATAAATGGGCTGTCCTGCTTGGTAGTCAGCTCGATAGAAGTTGATCTCAACTCTTGTGATCTGAGCACATTACGGTATCATATAATCTATAATTTGTTAATTTATTCATATTTTATCTATGTTTAAGTTTCTCCCGTGATATGAAAAACACTAGTGAAAAACGTATTTCACATATCACTTCGCAGAAAAAACAGCCCATTCGCCAATATCGCCTTTTTTCAACCTAGAGTATTACGCCATTTCACGTAAAACAGGTGCAGCTCCATTGACAAAACGATATTATATAGTTTATACAATATTATACAATGGAGTTCCACAACCCGTTTTACGTGAAGTGGCGTAAAACTCGGTAAAAAATGCGATATTCGCGGCCTGTAGTAGTCGTAAAATGTGTTTTTTACATTGTGTTTTTCATATCACGGTCGTGAAACTCCATGAATAGTTTTATAGTCCAAATTTAATGATAATACAAGTTAACCTCAGCCTGGGCGTAAGAGATCCACAACCAGCAGCGACCGGGATGCCTCCAAACATTGAGTATTTTTAACCCACATAGCATTTGTATGGATACGCGACCGTGTGGGAAAAAATGCACATGGTCAACTACCTGTGTTGATGACAATACGAAATTCTGAGACGAAATTTCAGAAAATTCTCATTGGTGTCTGTGCATATAGGGGCGTGTGAAATTAGTGAAAACTCCTAAACTAAGCTGAGGACAGCGAGTATACATCATGAAACTGACAGGGGATATCATCAAACTGATCTTCTGACAGTAATATGAGATACCATCTCATGTGATTACCACACCACAACGAACATCAGAGTAATTAAACAGACCGGGACTATGGAGCATCCTTCACTTACAAGGCTTCTGTCACAGAGGCCATAGATGAGGTACTCAGGATCACAGACGCACTCGGGCAGCTCTAAACAGGCCGGGCAATCTGCAGTTCATCAATAAGAAGATATGCATCGGTATGAAAAAACGGTGAAGTCTCACTCTGATGACGGTCGATCATAAATGCCTTGCCACTACTGCTCCAGAAGTCATCATCGTTGGTGACACTTTTGGTGACACCCTGAACTGGATCGTCTTGACTGCTCGCCGCCACGCCCTCTGACCATGATTGCAGTACATGTGAATTTTATATGCAAATGTGAAATGCGCGTTATTTTGGAAGGACGAATAACAGTGACCAAGTTGTCGCTATCACAGTCCCAAACGGGTACTCTCATCACATGTTCATAGCCATGATTACATTGGAGTTTCACGACCGTGATATGAAAAACACTAGTGAAAAATATATTTCACGACCACTGCATATCACCGCGAATATCGCGTTTTTCACTGAGTTTTACACCACTTCACGTAAAACAGGTTGTGAAGCTCCAGTGTATATGCGATATAGTTTCAAATCGATTCTCATCATGCTCGGAAAATCAAGTATCAAATTGACACGTGCTGCATAGTGTTGATTTCTGAGGAAATGTTACTCACCCGAAATGAGGTTGTAAAAAACCGATGAGAACGCGCTAAGGTCTGCCACTTCTGACAGAATTTTCTTCGATGAACTACAAAACTCGTCGTCGTGGAATAGAAGACACTAAAAAAGAGACGATCAATGTTGAATAAACGCCCTAAAATCCCTACAGGGCCGGCGAGAGCATCAGCCCTTTCAGGCCACGGTATGAGCCTGTTGTCATTTCCGAGGACCAGATCGTATATGTGTAGGGTATCCACCAATAAGGAGTGAACCTTGAGCATAGATCCCCAGTTACTACTAGCCAGGATGTACCACACATGTTAGTATGAAAATCGTGAGGAAATTTTTGGAAATTCTCATTGACTCTAGTACATTTCTACCCGAATTCATATGTAAACTCCTAAGCTCAGTTTTCAGAAAGCAAACACATATTTCAACACTATCACTATCACTACTAGTAGTAGTGATAGTGATACTACTACTATAGTCTACTACTACTATAGTCTACTACTACTATAGTCTACTACTACTACTATAGTCTACTACTACTATAGTCTACTACTACTACTACTACTATAGTCTACTACTACTACTATAGTCTACTACTACTATAGTCTACTACTACTACTATAGTCTACTACTACTACTATAGTCTACTACTACTACTATAGTCTACTACTACTACTATAGTCTACTACTACTATAGTCTACTACTATTATAGTCTACTACTACTACTATAGTCTACTACTACTATTATAGTCTACTACTACTACTATAGTCTACTACTACTATAGTCTACTACTACTATAGTCTACTACTACTATAGTCTACTACTACTATAGTCTACTACTACTATAGTCTACTACTACTATAGTCTACTACTACTATAGTCTACTACTACTATAGTCTACTACTACTACTACTACTACTACTACTACTACTACTACTACTACTATAGTCTACTACTACTACTACTACTACTACTACTACTACTACTACTACTACTACTAGAAGCTTTTGACCTACTGCTTTATTCAAGAGCAAGTCCCGTTTGAAAATTTCCGATACCGTGTCGTAGCTATATATCGTGAGTAGGACAGCACTGGGCAAGGAGTGGTAGGGGGACCATGTCGTTCTAGTCTCATTCGAGGGCTGATGACAATCCATCGCAGCCGCCGATACATCATTCAGGGGTGCCATAATAACACATGCTACTTAGGGAATTTGATGAAGAACGTCACCCTCATCTGGAAGCTCCAAGTTGGTACCCCAACCCCACAATGGAAGGAATCTATATGAGTTCACAAACAATCACAAAAGGGTTTGCCCAGTGAAAGTGTACCAGGACTAAGGCCAAGGAGTCAACTATAACGCAAAGCACAAATATGATGGCTATAAGTCTTATCAAAATTTATTCCCAATTCGTTATTTCCTAGTTGTCTTCATACAGGCACGGATCTGCTACACCCGCCGAGCTGTAGCTCAGCAGCGTTCAAAGCAGTAGTCTACAGTGATAGTGCCAGAAAAGTGTCCTAGGGCTGAGTTCGAAGCACAGCAAACTCATAGTGGCATTTTCCTATATCCGTATACCCTTCAAAACCCGCATCCAAGATCGATTCAGAATTGCCATGCATATAAGAAGAATAGGACACCACACTGGTAACATCGCCGCGGCACTTTAGAAAATTTTGACGAATATACAAACCACGTGAAAAAACGCTACCCCCGCCGACTGAAACGACGTCATCAAGCTAGCGAATATCAACTTGAAAATTTCACCACTAGACCCTCCCCAACCGTCCACTGCAGTTGTGATAACATTCCTTACGCCCCCTTCTACTACCACTATCACATTGATAGCAGCGCCAACATATTCCTCTCTGAGAGCCTCCGTGAAAATTGCCAAGGCAAGAGCCTCTACAGAACGCCTTGTACAACTCCCTCGAGGTCTACGTCACTACTCACTCCACTGTTGACGTTGTAGCATACATACGCCCAGTCTGTGCTCCAACACAGTGATATGCTACCCGTCGCCTTCTACTTGTGATCACTAGAAGGTAGTTACACCAGCAACGCAACAGCAATGGTTCGGTAACAACATGATGATGACAACAGTGAACGACGGAACATGGATTAGAGTCTACATAGGACCAATGCGATCGCCATTACAGCAGTGCCCAAAATGAATCCACCGGGACACCAGTGACGATCCAAATGGCATGCTGTAACGAACAGCTTAGCCGCCGCAATATAAACCTACCAATAAATCGATAATTTCTCCATGAGTTGAAAACACTAGTGAAAAATATATTTCACGAACATCGCGTTTTCCACAGAAAATAACGCCACTTCACGTAAAACTTCAGGTGAAACTCCAATGATGATATTACCATCACTCCAGCGGAACAGGCATACATAACCGCATACGTATCATCAGAGAACTCCTCACTTCTTACCAACCACGCCAAAATACCTGAACCGTCCCAAGGGAATCACCCAGGAACCTATAATGTTGTCGAGGGGAACTCATTTTGGATTTCCTACATGGTCAGGAACACATTTTTCCCATGTAAATGTCATCACATTAGGATGACCCTTTTCTCACATTCAAGTTGAATGAGCCGCTCGAGGACACACCCAAAGATGAGGCCAACTACTACCTCCTAGGGGCTCTGCAATAGCCGATATGGAGCACCAAAGCAGAGCTTGTTTCTTGCTACCAGTTGCCCGGAGAATTGGCGACGCCACTGCTATGCCTAAGTAGTATTAAGGTAGCTCTCGAGAACAGACTGTCACTAAAAGACCTTCTGGAATGTTATGAACCGCTATAGCGACCGCCAACGATACACCCACTGAGGGGTCCTGGACAGTGCCGATGAACGTAAGGATTCCCTCGGGGAAGTTATGCAGGCAAATTGCTCCAGCAGTGAACAAGGCAACTTTGAGGAGCTCCAGCCTGTGATGAACGGCCTCTTCGTGGGTCGCTTCTACATCAGCTAAGTTGGAGTTGGTTGACATCTCAGAAAACTCTGGCACTCGTCGTGGTTCATTCTGTGAAAGACCACTGAGCTCAACCTAGAGACATGTATTCCCTACTTTAATAACGGGACCGTTGTGAGGCTCAAAAAGACCATCAGTGAGCTCCTGCAAGGCGATAGCCGCTGGGGCTACACCATGCGGGTCCTCTTCGTTTTCCAAGTCCTCAGGCGTCGACTCAGCAGCTGTAGCCTCTTTGGTCGTCCGCCTATGGCGACTCCACGAGTGCCACTTCCGACTACCCCAGTCCGCTGCCTGAGATCATCTCACTGTGAATAGGGACAGCTCAGTTGTGTTACCATGCAGAGGAGCGTCGCGAGAAAGTACACTAGATTAGCCATCATGAAGGCATGGTCCTCATCGAAGGTGTCGCCTTCCTGGAATCTGACCGAACATACATCCTTACCGAAAGCCAAGATTCCACGCACAGGTCAACAGCCTGAGGGAAGATCTCTGTGAAGCTGACGAAGATCATAACCCCAGCAGCGGTGGCGAGAGCTCCTGCCATAAACCTCTGGTTGTGGGGATCGATTATCATGGATATGACGCCACCCAACATAGTAGCCGCCCCTGAGGAAAAGCATGTGCAGCAGTTGACGTTGATCTCAATGTGATGGTCGCTTACCAGCAACGAATGTTAGGCCGATACCTAAGCCGGCATTAGAGGAGTCCTCTACGACCATTGGGAAGTACAACGACCACTACTGCTGTTCTTGGATCAAGGAATCACCGCCGCCGGCCCCGAGACAAAGTAAAAAGCGCGCGCCCAAAAATTCTAGTGTGCGTTGGCTGTTCATTCGGTGGTGACCAAATCAACGACATACTGTCGAACGAAAGACTATCGAGAATGTGAATCTTTCAAGAGTGCTCATAGCCGCGGCTTCACATCAGTCGTTCACTTACACATTGTCATTCTCCGCTTTAGAGAGTAGTATCTTATTATCAAGCACAGTGCCCCCAGGTGATCTCATTAGGGGTCTTCGGATTCCCAACAGAGCAGTAGTTCACCTCGTAACCGCTGAATGGAATATACTCTCCGTGGAGGGCGTTCATCATACGATCCCTCACTGGGACTGTCATCAGCTACTAATCGACCTCCTCACACTTCTGTAAGTGAGATGCCTTATTCCACACTAGCAACCGAGTCGCTTGAGCGCATGTAGCTCTATCGATCCGGGAATTCCATATAGTGTCTCGTGAGGTATGCGTAGGGTAGCTCCCGAGACGTCCATACCGCCGTTCGCAGATAAGTGGCCGGAATCGTTTTCGCTACTTCCGGCGTTCCCTCGCTGACGGTCAAAGCCCCAATGAGGCTGTCCACTACCGCGTCCCACACGCCGGTCCTTTTCTACCCAGAGTAGCCGAGCCAGAGCCGATGAGAAACGCCACTGAGAACTCCAACGCTGATGCTAACATCACGGTGAACGACCCATGAGCCTCACCGAGAAAGAAAACGTCATTATTAGGATGCCACCTGCCTCTCTGTTGAAGCGGATAAAAGAGGAACTTTCGTCCAGTCAGACATCCGCGAAAGCGACATCCAAACGGTGGGGACCAGCAGTTCTCATCGAGAGCTGCGCGTTATCAGGATCCTTTCTCGCCCGAGATGCCCAACGAATGCAAAGGCTTAGTGCCGGACCTCATGTGGCTGTCGGGTCTGACATTCCAGAACGGCATGCTCATCGGCGAGGCTGCGGTGAGCTGCATTAGCAGCGTGCAGTGCATCAGCGACGATGTGCTAGGTTCGGCTAGTTCAGATTATGCGTGAAAAGAAGAAGGCACAAGAGGCTTTACCGCAAGGTGGTGTTAGTGTAGCCACACTCAATCTGGACAGGCGTTGCCAACAGGGAAGGATTTGGAATCGGCCACACTGCGGGCGAAGATGATCGAAGAAATGGAGTTGAAAGAATTCAGAAGTCGAGAAGCTCAGATTGACAGGATCAACGTTTGACGGCCCAGGAAAAATCACCCAACGTATGATGCCTTCCGTACGCTCAGGAGGAAAGACTGCGACTATTACGCAAGGCGCTAGCAGATCTCAGAGCTGCACAGGAAACACGATCAGAAGAGAGAAAGGAGCGTGTTATTTCTAGACTCACCGACGTAACTGCGTCGGATGGCGTTATGCTTGCTATCCATATCGATAGGTGAAGAACGAGAAGCTCTGTCAGCTGGGCAACTTTAGGCTGAGGGCTCTTCGGCGCAGCGCCCGCGACAGGGCCGCCACTGTAATTATTATCACTACTGAAAAACTCTCAATACCTGGACAATTCGCTTAACACAAACGACGATTGGATTCTCCTGTTGAATCTCAGCGCACGCGAGCGTTCATAGTAGAGCGTTATAGTACTCGAGAGACGAGACCTCCCACTAGAATAGGTGGTAGCCGGAACCCCCCTGGTTTAGGTTGACAGGGTGAACAAGCTCGGGAGAGGGGATACGATAAAATGCACTCAGCTCGAGGCTCACAACGATCGCTCCTCGCTACTTTACGCTCCTATCACTAGAGAGGGCACTGTATGGCACTGACTCGAGAGTAGTTGCATGATATTGTGAAGTGAAAGGTGCCTCTGAGACTAACGGGGAGGATGGATTTCGAAGCAGTCGCTCGAGACACCCTCAAGGCGATAACGGGCCTTGGAAAGCTCGTGTGCGGAGAAATTCGATTCCCGAAGACTTGTAAGTCGCAAGAGACGGGAACCTTCTCATTCACGAAGGAGAAACTGATAACTTTCAACGTTCATCCGGAAGGAATTGGAACAGCCTCCTTGTTTAGTGAGCGCCGTGCCACCAGAAGAGAACGCACGGAAATGGGAAGCCAGAAGTACCGTCAACGGCGATTGACTTCAAGATGGTCTTCTGTTATGCAGAAGCCGTCTTGAGCACCGCGATGAAGCACATCACGAATGAACTAGATAGCATGGCCCTCCACCAGGACGATGCCCCACGGGAGCCCGAACCGATGGGTATCGCTTGGTGGTGGTTGAGGAGGCCTTCTGTAACGATGTAGATCCAAAGCCGGGAGTAGAGCCCCAATGGGAGGAGAAGAGAGATGTCACTCCAGTAGACAGCAGCTCACACCTCAACGGTGGGCTGCGGAATTTGATTGACTCACACTTGGTTCATCAGCTGTACCGGCGGGGGATTGCAAGGGCATGGACGTAGCAGCGTTGATGCTGAGCCGAGTCCTTCGCGGCAGAGCTATGCAGAACGAGATGCTCGTGGGGGTGTCCAAGAGAGCGGCTCTCATTGAGGTGCTTGCACGTGCGCCGTCGTAGTGGTATTCTTCGTGGCTTCAAGGAACTGCGAATTTGTGACGGATGGACGACCAACTTGTCTGATGGGAAGAACGATGAGCCAGAAGGTTTGCATTCTTGGATTCTAGTCTGTGGTTTTATCGGTTGCCAGGCATCCCAGTGTCCCTTATAGAAGAGGGAATCGTGTCCTCTCTCATTGGAAGCACAGTTGGAGCCACTCTAGATAAGCTCAGCAAGGAGCTCGCCAAGTCTAAGGTGGAGATGTGCGTGTGTGAAAAGCATTCAACTGCAGGAGGAGCGAAGAATAGCTGCAATGGTTTGGCTGGCGCATCACAACCGACGGCTACGACAGATCAAGGAATCGGGAGTGCGACAAGCGGAAGAACGAATGAGGGATCGCGAGGAAACGATTTTCCGCGAAGTGCTCTGGCCGTTTGGGATCACCGTCCCATCATGCACTGGTAGGTAACACAGAGCTGCAAGCAGACCGCTGACTCCTATTTGAACGACATCATGGACACGACGATCGGGGAGAAGAGCCAAGGCGTTGCTCTCGCCACAGTTGAACGCCCAACGAAAAGCCTTGAACAAGTCGCTGGCCTCAACCCGCGATGGAATACGCCGTTGCTGGTCAGGTCCTGGACCAACTGGACGCCCACTTTGCTGAAACTTCCGGCCAGACTGAACTTGAGAGAGAAACTACTGCCATCAAGCAGTTGGTGAACTGGTGAAACCGTCATTTTCCCGACCTTGCATGGTGATCATGCGCTCTTCAGCTTCCTCTTCCCCCTGGTGGAGCGTTCCCGCGTGCTGGAACAACTTCGTGTGAGGGAGAAGCGCTTCATACAGGCTTCGAAGGAGGCATTCAAGACGACCGTGAAAGACGTCTCTGAACGACTCACTGCACCATCGGTGAGGCGTTCGGGTCCTCCACAGTTGTTGTATGGTCCACCGACAGATTCCGTTGGCCGAGGAAACCCACGACGGGGATGAGCATGAGTTACCTTCGTGATCTGCTAGAGTGACAAAGGCAATTCATGCATCCATGAGATTTTCCATCTACCGTGCTATCAATCACTGCGTGTTGCATTTAGTGATGATGGGAGTACGATGCAGTGTAGGGTTATATGTTCGCTTCCCTCAACTGAGCTTAGGAATCCTCTTATTGACCATCGGAGTTTGTATACGAATCAGGCTTGAAGTGTACAGAAACCCACGAGAATTTCGCAAAATTTTGTCAGATTTTTCGCTTTGTCAGTGAAATTTTGTCATCAACACATGTAGTTGGTCATGTGCAAGCTTTCTCATACCGGTCCGACGTGAATTGAATCAATACACCCGCTTCGTGAGCAATTTTTTGGAAGTTCTCCAGCCATCTGCAATAACACATGATAGTGGGAAGTTGTCGAAAGTCACGTGTATCTCTCGGCAAGATGCTCTGCGTTCATCAGTGTCTTGAATCTCGTATATCCAATACTCCACAACACAAATCTCAATGGAGTGAAAGCAATAACAAAACGTCAACCATTGTCTTCGTCGTCTTCACTAGATTGATCATCATCGAGCATTCTCTCTCGGGGCATCATTTCTTCCATGCCAGGGGTTGATTCACAGTAGATTTGGATAGCTTTGGGTAGGCGATAATACACAAGTATCTGAACACGATACCTCCACTGAAATGTGGCACCGCAACTTACGCCAGCTAGAATAGCTATTAATGATGCAATAGCAAACGGGAGCCGCTCGGCTTCGCCATGTTCACGCGTCCAAACGAATAACATACCGAAAATTATAGGACCAATAGCAGAACCTACGGAGAGAGGAATTCTCTTTCATTTGCCATATGGGAGAGTTCACCGATTCCAGCAATAGAATTATTAGAGGCCATCGCTGTACCCACAATAGCAGAGGGAGTATAATCGGCTATCAAGGCGGCGAGCGCCGATGAACCTAATGCAGCTACATCTCGATAGAGGATGGTTTCTCAGCCGTACCGAGCATAGCTGGTCCAGCCAAAGTCCCTCCGAATAAAGCCACATCTGTCGACGAAGCGACAGCGCAAACAAGATAGTGTGTTGCATAGCATAAGAGCGCAAGCAGGAGAATGCGCTGAGCTTTCCATTCGCATTCATTCTGGAGGAAGCGCAATAGGAGTGTATTACACAGAAGACCACTGATGCCGATGCAAGCAGCGAACAACGCTCGTTGCAAGGCAGTGAACCCTAGAGCAGATTGTAAGTAGGAGTTGATAGACTGGGATATCCCCGAGTCGGCCACGGCGATAGTGAGGCGAACCTCAAGGCAAGTACGCAAAACAATAGTGGCCCTTGGGGGCAGATGCAACCAGTCGAAGGGCCTCGGTCGGGACCGAGCTCCCATGAGACGATCTCTGGCACCAGGATGAGACTCGGGCAGTGCGAAAATGGTGTAGAGGGCGGAGCAGATGCAGAGGAGTGCCCAAAGATGTACGATGGCGAAGGTGTGTATCTCGGCTCCAATCATGGGGAATACGAGGTTACCAGAGAGAGTCAAGGCCATGAGGGCTCCGTAGATTCTCATACGCCTCTGAGGCTGTGGACAACAGTCTACCACGTACGCGTTGAGGAGGGGAAAGCGAGCGTATTCAGGGCCGACTCCAGCAAGACTGATGAGAATCTCCAATACAAAGTAACCTATCATATGGGACACGCCAGTCTTGAGGGCTGTGAGAGATAGCCATAAGGGAGGTAGTACGGCGAGCACTGAGTTGAGGACGAAGTACCTACACATGAGGCGTCATGAGGGGAGCTGCCCATCAGGCTCACGTTCTGCGTTTGCCACGGGAGTCTGAATAGGCTCCTACCAAGAGTCCAGTAAAACAGCTTATTAGAGCTGATATGCTCATAGTGAGTACACTCCATAGGAGCTGAACGTCGTTGCACTCGCTGGACGAATGACACCAGCCTATTCTTCTGAAGTACTCTTCTTTAATTTCAATGAGCACCGGCGAGACTAGGGCTATACCCCAGAAAACCGGCAGCACAGAGGGACACACAAGCCAAGGGCTCGGCACTGGTGCTCCTAGACGGGCTGAAGGCATATCTTCGGAGCACAGTAACTGCAATACTCTCATTATTGCTCCTTGCCAGTCACTATGACCAACAACTCAAGTCGACTGCTGGCAGCGGCTAGCCTCAGAGCATGTTATGATCAGTGAAACCCGGGATGGATCCTGCTCCATCAATGATAATATTCAAATGCACTTGTAGCAGCCTAGTGACCAACTGATAAAGTGCCCACATTCTCAGGCTTGTTATTGACTGCTCCATGTTCCATCAAATCTTCCAGAGTCGACAGTAAGACGCTCCTGGCCTCACTCTCAAGGCTTATTCACGACTACGGCATCTTACCGTTAATTCAATAAGGAAGATGTAGCCCCTGTGACGCCCCGTGACTGGCAGGTCAGCCCAGGTCCAGCTAGAGAACAGGCTAAGTCCCCGTACATACTGCCTCTTATAAACAACCACCGAGTGTGACTTCAACTCAAGATCTACAGTAGACATGTAAATCGTTGGAACATTTACGATGACAATGACAAGGGCATTCTGCCAACGACGACAATAGAATAGAAAAAATCCGCCCGATGCGACGTAAACCGTTTTGTTCTAATACTGCATCTAAGCAGGCATAAGCCTGTGGGGGTCAACCCTTTCAATATCGGAAAAAGAGAACGACTTGCTCTCGGACGAGGAGACCGCCAAGGTCTGCTTAGAAGAGCCGTCCTTACGAGGAGCTCGAGCTCCACCACCCGAATAGGCCAACACGGACGGGTCCAGCTCGACACGGCTGTACTCTGGCTGCCACATTGCATCTTGGACGAGCTGATTGAGGTCATCAGGGCGACTGAGAGGAGGGGCATCTCCCGCTCACGCTGTGTGTTTCCAGCCTACCTGATCTGAGCAATCCCAGTGTCTAACGCCTCCTTGATGCAAGCCACGGCGATGGCGTGAGAGAGCTCGCGGATCCTGTTGATCTGTGGGTAGAGGAGGCCTTGGGCTAGATCCTACGATGAAAGAGCAGCAGCCACTTGCAGTTTTGAAGTAGAAGTTTATGTCCACTTTCCTCAGCCGAGCTCAGGAATTTCCTCGCGAACTATACAAATTCGAGTACAAGTGTCCAAAAATCAACAAGAATTTCCCAAAATTTCCTCATTGTCACCGACACATGTGGTAAGCTGTCACCAATATACATTACCTCTTCCGCGACCTTCTCCGACAAGGTCTTAGCTGCCCGGTAGAACATAGTGTCCGGGATGTTCTTGAACTTACCGACGATTGCTGCCAGGCCAACCCCAGGGAAGATGTACCTTTTGCTTTCCCTTCATACCAAGTCAAAATCGGATACTTACATGTTGTTGCCTTGACCCGGAATGTATATTTTCCCATTGTAGGTCACCGGCTTGAACGGCGATCCTGTTGCCACCCAGGCCTCTCCACCGGTCCATCTATAGGAAAAACCCGGATGACAGCGACCTCATCAGTGTGGGGGGAAAATATGCACATGATCAACCACATATGTTGGTGACAATATGAAAATTCTGAGAAAAATTTCGCCACAATATTTTTGATTCGTCAACATTTCTACTCGGATTCGTATATTAACTTCAGTGAGGAAACTCCCAAGCTCAGCTGAGGAAAGCAAGTATATACTCCAACACTGGACCTCGTCCCAACGACCAGCAGCCTTACATGTAAAGCTGCTCAGGCGTGGCCTCAGCCTTCGGAGTTGGATTCGACAAGGCGAATATGACCGGTGCCGGGCAGTGGGCGTGCATTTCCTGAACGAACCAAGCTACATCGGAATACATTACGGTTGGCCTACTTTGATGATCTCCTCAGTGAAGGCTCCATACTGTCCACTCAGGCCCAGTAAAATGGTTGGCTTAACGACTTGAACAACTTCCAGCAAGCTCTCAAGAGGCTCGTCATCTCGACAGAATCGTATCTGTTGACCACATCACGTCTCCTGTTAACTGCAGGCGGCGACGGCGCACTTTGTGTTCCTGCAGCTCCCCGCCTCTCTTAGAAGTGACCAGTCCTCTGGAATCCACCAACCAGAATCTCTGTCTCGCCTCCTCGATGGTGAGGCCCTGTTGGACCATGGCGGAGACAATACTGTCGGCTACCCCGACAGCTGCAGAGCCGGCCCCGAAGAAAACGATGCGTTGGTCAGCGAGAGCCTCGGATTTGGCTCGCATTGCGGTGAGTACTCCTGCCAGGGCGACAGAGCCAGTACCCTGGATATCATCATTAAAGCATAAGATGTTCTCTTGATACCTCTTGAGGAGGGGGAAGGCGTGATCATTAGTGAAGTCCTCGAATTGGATGAGGACACCGGGCCAACGGGAACGGACAGCATCGACAAACTCGTCCACAGCAGCATAGTACTCCTCACCATCGACTCTCTTATGGCGCTCACCAAGGTACATATCATCATTGAGCAGATCCGGGTTATTAGTACCGACATCAAGGGTAACAGGCACAGTGCGGCCAGGGTTGATACCGGCACATGCGACATAAAGGGAGAGTTTACCAATAGGGATACCCATACCGTTGGTACCAAGATCACCAAGACCAAGAATACGAGAACCATCAGTGACCACGATGATATCAGCATCACGAACATTGCTGTTCCAGATGACTTGTTTGAAGTTGCCTTTCTCCGAGATATTAAAGTAAATACCACGAGAGCCTCGGAAAATACGATCGAAGTCCTTGCAGGCCTGACCCACCGACGGAGTGTATACGATGGGCATCAGATCCGTGATGTTGTCCAGAAGCAGACGATAATACAACGTTTCATTGCGATTGTGTACACCTTCCAGGTAGATGTAGCGGCCTATATCTGTATCCTTGGTTCGAAGCTGTTGCATGCATCTTTCCACTTGAGTGTCAATGCTGAGGACCTTGGGAGGTAACAAGCCAATGAGCCCAAGCTCCTCACGCTCGGCCTCTGTGAATGCCTCCGCCTTGTTATAGACCGGGTTGCGCATCAAATGCAAACCCCTCTCGTAAACAGTCGCCACTCTGCCGCTTTCCGGACCGGACATTTTCACACCGGGCGTGTTGGCGCAGTCAATGAGGCCCATTTGGATCTGCAGCAGCACTTGCCTGGCTGAGTTGAGGAAAGCATCGCGGACTCTCTGACCTCCCTTTGCTGACGTTTCCATGAACAGAATACCATTAGATCTCGCGAACGTCGCCGCTTCGTCCGATGGCACTTCACGACCAAGCAAGTCGGCCTTGTTGCCAATTAGAACCTTCGTCACATTTTTGTTCAACTTCTCCAAATTCTGCTTTATAAAATCGGTGAGCTCATCATACGTCTTCCTCTGCGAAACATCGTAAACGAAGAAAATGACCGCTGAGCCTCGGCAATACGATAATGTAAACTTACCCCACACTGTGTCCCATATTTGCAGTTTCACCCTATTCTCATCGATATTAACTATAGCCTTCGAAAATTCCACCGTGTCAGTCGGAGTAGACGTCACACGGAACACATTTTCCGTAAACATTAGTCTCAGATTAGTCTTGCCGACTCCCGGAGGTCCGACCAGGGCATATTGGAAGGCATGGGTCCAACGATGGATATGTGGAGATGTGCTCTGACGGTGATACAGTTCCGAAAGCACAAGATGATACCACTCGATCAGCGCCTCTGTCGGAGCCGCGGCCACAATGTCCTCCATGGGTAGCATACGGACATCAAAGTTCGCCTTGTTGCCACCATCAGCCGTGGTCGGTGGTTGCACTATGTTAATCGGGGCCATAGGAAGCTAGATCCAACGATACTACTATACACAATCCAAAGCAGTGTGGACATACATTTTCAATAGCTCCAATGGATATTCAACACATACTGTAGTTGTACTCATCGAGATCTGTTATTCTGATCAGCCAGAAATTTATATATTCATATTATCAGCATCCGACATGAAACTTATCGTATCAAATGATGAAATAATATTTGGTATGAAATCAATGATATTTTTTATTATTATAAACGAGCATCTTCCTATCGGCGGAAGACCAAGAGCTTCTAGATCGTTCAGTCTCAACCCCTGAAAAAAGGCACGCGTACGAGGAGATAATTCCTTAGTTGATAACTACAAAGAGACCATCATATCATAGAGTATTGAGTGAACTCCACGAAAGACAATAATGTTAGCCCAGCAAAAAGTCCTCATTCACTCCGATACGAATTGATACACTCAACAAAGCGCATGGGGCAAAGCTATAAAGTTACTACACATTGATGACAGCCTCCCTCCATCACTGCCATAACAATTCGTTGAAAAACACCAATGCCAACAAGATTTTTTCTAGCCCTCACAAAGGGAGCAGGCAGCAGCAAAACCAACAAATAGAAGAGAATAGTAGTCATGTCGCTAGCTATCAGTCCATTGTAGTAACAAGGCCTCAATGAGACCACCCTAGTCGTGGGAGGGCGGCAGCCGATGACGGCCATGAATGCGCCAATACCACGACCAGAGCTATCACAGAGACTGAAGGAAGGCGGCGCTGGTATGATATAGATCAGCACAGTTAGTCTAGTCTTAACAAAAAACAACAACAACGTCCTACTACTATTACTACCACACCAACTTGGTGATGAATGTTTTTACATAAACTGATTGGGGTTCACACGCTCCATGTCAGTGAAGGAGAAGGCCTTGCTTTGGATAGTACCAACGCTGAGCTTATTCTTGTTGCTCTGGGAGTTGCCTACACCAGAACCCTGGCCGGAGAAAGCGAACACAGAAGGGTCCAACTCGGTATGAGAGTACTCCGGCTTCCACATGTGGTCCCACACGAACTTGTCGAGATCAGCAGGGCGTCTGAAAATAGAAAAATACATGCCACGAAATAGACAATAAATCCGATGATCTTACTCAATGCAAGCAATACCGAGATCGAAGGCCTCCTTGATGCACGATACTGCAATGTCGTGAGAAAGCTCGCGAATACGAGTAAGGCAGGGATATAAAGTGCCACGAGCAATATCCTCCTCAGTGACTCTCTCAGCAAGAGTCTTAGCAGCAGTGTAGAACATTGAATCGGGGATCCACTTGAACTTGCCAAGAATACCAGCCAAACCGACACCAGGGAAGATGTACATGTTGTTTCCTTGGCCGGACTGATACACCTTACCATTGTATGTGACGGGCCCGAATGGAGAGCCAGTGCAAACCCAGGCGTTTCCATCTGTCCACCTGAGAACAACCAACATCACCATAAAGATACTACCGATATGAACTTACGTATAAAGCTGTTCGGGTGTGGCCTCGGCCTTGGGCGTAGGATTGGAAAGAGCGAAAATGACAGGTTGAGGACAGTTAGCATACATAGCCTAGAAAATAACAACAACGACAGTCACTGAAGCAATCACAAGTGATCATCAAAGCACCAACCTTGATGATGTCCTCAGTAAAGGATCCCGACTGTCCACTGAGACCTAGTAGCACAGTAGGCTTAATGGCCTTCACGACTTCGAGAAGACTTGTCATCGGCTCTGCGTCGTCACGGCAATAAGGAACCTGATAAACAACATCAAGGACAGACCACAGTACTGTGTGTGCTACTCACCTTATGATCCTGGATATTGCCACCACGTTTCCAAGTGACCAAACCCCTAGAGTCAACGAACCAGAAGCGCTTTCTGGCATCTTCAGGGGAAAGGCCATCATGAACCATAGCAGCAACGATGCAATCAGCGATGCCAACGGCAGCGGCACCAGCACCGAGGAAGACGATCCTTTGATCCTCGAGCTTCTCCTTCTTCACCCTCATAGCACTGACGAGGCCCGCCAAGGCGACAGAGCCAGTACCCTGGATATCATCATTGAAGCATAAGATGTTCTCTTGATACCTCTTGAGGAGGGGGAAGGCGTGATCATTAGTGAAGTCCTCGAATTGGATGAGGACACCGGGCCAACGGGAACGGACGGCATCGACAAACTCGTCCACAGCAGCATAGTACTCCTCACCATCGACTCTCTTATGACGCTCACCAAGGTACATATCATCATTGAGCAGATCCGGGTTATTAGTACCGACATCAAGG